TGATATTATTTGTACTTTTATATTTAGTGGCCAGCTCTAAGATAACTGTTTACCAAAATAACCTGCCTATGAAAAAAGATTGGACATCATTGGTATATGCGGTATTAAAAATAAGGCAATTGGAATCCCAAGTGATCCATCAAATTTTAAACAAATGCATAATTTTTAAGTTAATCGATCTTACGAGTCAAAACCTTTCATAAATAATTCATTTTAACTTTCCTTTGCTTGAAAGATTCTCCAATAAGCATGTTATGTAAATATATCATCACTAATTTATAATGTTCTAAATTTTCAGAACATTTCTATTCCGTGTGCTCGTAGGTATTCGTTGCACATATTGCTCGTCATCACATCAATGGGAGGCCCATTAATGCGAAGAGAATACGAAGTACCCACGAAAAGGGATGGGATGGCTGGCGTTATTAAAATGACGCATAAAATCGATCCTCAGGTCGTCTTCCACCTATTGCAAACCATCGATAGGACTGTTCCATTCGTGATTATTCGTTATTTTCATTCCATATATTTATTCATATATTATATATTATATTATTATATATATATATTTTATTTATCTTTATCTTATTATATATATCTTATTCATTAGGAAAATAAAATTATTAAAACGGGTGAGACTCCTTGGTTGGATGAGATACAGAAACAGGAATATTGCTGTATTAGTCTTTTAAACTTGAAATCAATTTACCATTGTTCTCGAAAAAACTATTCTAGCAGAAGTCACTGTTAATACTTCTAAATATAGCTGTTATTTTAGTAGGTAGTAGAACCGAATTTCTTAACAAGGTAGTTTAAAGTTTTTACTTTAGAATAAAAAAAAAAAAAAAAAATAGTAAAAAAGGTAGATAAGTAAGTTACACTATTTGTTCTATCAAAAAATATTCTATAATTATCGTATAAATAAAATACGTTGAAATACCAAATTTCGTTAAAATGTCGTTTTCTTAAGCTTATAAATATGTTTGCGAATTTTCGGTAAATATTTTTTTTTAAATAATTACAAAAATTATTTTGAAAAATTTTGCATCTAATTTTCAAGCTTTGCGCATTAAAAGTTTTATGAATTTTTAACTTCAATACTTTTGTAGAATTTCGTGTTTTTGTTGAATTTTATAAAAAAAAAAGCTTAGTTAATATGAATTTTTCAAATATTTGTAGAAATGTTATTGTATTTATGTATAAATAACTCAAAAAGAAATCTAAATCTTTGAACATTTTTCTGATCGAAATCGTATACAAAGGCAGAACAATTTTAAAAAAATATTAAACATGCATCATGGTAAATCAAAGGCTTCTTCGTTCCATTCATAATCTAAAAAACAAAACACAATACAGCATCATTATTTTTTTCACGGGAATTAGTCATAAAACTATTGTGTATGTTCGCAGCCTTGAGTGACTGTTCCACATAATTATAAAAGTTACAGATGAGATTATTTGCGTGCACAATTCATTTTTCAAACACGAATATCGTAACGGAACGTTATTAGTTTCAGTTTAACTAACGTGGTTATATGATTGAATAATAAGCCCTTGAAGAATTATTCAGTAATGTAGACGAAATCTTGCAATCGTTTTCGTTTCGCTGATCTATACACAAGAGTGTAACAATACTGTTTGAAATCCGAAAGTAAAGATAGAATAATTGATTTAGAAGAGCTTCTCACAAAACCAGGTTTATAAATGTACAGCATTGTTCTACTTATTTTTTCTTGTATATCATATATATATCACGGTGGATTGTTAATAAACATATTTTAAACCATCGGAATAACAAATTATTGGTGATCACTGAGGCTCGGAAGTTGATGACTTTAAAAACATTAAAAAATTATCTAAAAAATATGCAAATATGACAAAAAAATGACAACATTGTCCTTAAAAATTACTTAAAAATATTACAAATATTGATTTTAAATTAATAAAAATACATTTTATTAAATATTTTACTCTATTTTACTTTAACGTTCTATATGAATTTATTAAAACTTACAAATTACTCAAAATATGACATAAAAATGACAACAAATGCCCATAAAATATGATATAAAAAATTATAAATATTTGTTTTATAAATGTATCAAAGCTTACGAAGTACTCAAAAATCAAAACCATTGTATTGTACAATTGAGCGTATTTGATATTATTAAAAGTAAATGCACGACGATTATCTGTTTATAAATATTTATGTTTGGGAAAACTTCTTTCCACTTCCACTGAAGTAATTGGGAGACGCAAACGAACACTAACCGGCGCGCCGCGGCATTTTAATTTTCGCCATTTCGAAAATATTACGAAAAAAATTATAAAACTTAGATATAATAGTTATTATTCACTATAAAATGATAACGATGTGACGACTTTAATCGGCGAGATAAAATCGGACAAGTCTTAATTTATCTAAATAATGTCAACAATAAACGGTAAGAAGTGAACTAGTGAGAAATCAGTAAAAATAACTAAAAATGTGGGAAAATGACTTAAAAATGTAAAATAAAAATTAGTTATTCGGATTCACATACTAATAAAACGCATTTGTGGCCAGGAGAGCTTCATCTAAAAAGTTCAAAAAAAAAAAAAAATGCAAAATATATCAACTTTCGAGCCCTAGTGATCAACCGTTCATAATTTGTGAACGTTTACTCAAAATTCCATAAAACAATGTATACTACCGATTGTTTTTTTTTTTTTTGGATTCAATAAGATCGAATGTGTAGGTCGAGTGAAACGCAATGATTATAATAATCGTATCTGTTTTCCGAATCCTATGGTATGGACGTACAACTGACATTATGTTCTTGGACAATCAGCGCGTCGGGATAAAAATGAACATCTTTTTGTCGTACAACTCGGTCACGCGTGAAACGGTAGCCACAACAAGGTGTACGCCGAATCGTACTAGTTATTCTTGTGCATGCAAGTGTAAACCTTTCTCATGCTGTGCCTGGTGAACACATTAAAAATCAGTTATGACTTCCTAGGCATATAAACACACCGAATTGCCTATGCGCCACGCCTGAACGAAATATCGCTTTTTGTGTCGTACAATAATCATTTATTGTATCACATAGTAATTAGAATAAGAACTCCATTCGTAACGAAATAAATCTGAAAATAAATTATTTTTATATCACAATGTAACCGCGCCGTGTTAATTCCACGATGAAGTTTTACTTCGTCACGACTAACGTCGAACCGTGCAGGTTCACGTTCGTTAATATTATCTAGATGAATATGGTTGTTGTTCCGTTGTTACGTACATCCAAAATTCGAATTTGATATCCAACTGGCACTGCAGTGAAAAAACTGAAACCGTTAAATTTCGTATTCTAAACAAATTACGCAGTTTTCAATCCATTCATATCTTATTTGAAAATGTATACGTCTCCTATATTATAAGAATTGTTACGAGTTTCAAATTAGTACTGATATCGTTTACGTCAGTCTTATGGCTATAGTTCTGAATTTTAAATAAGATTTGATACATGAACAAAATAAAAAAAGTTGTCATTTGGTGAATGTCGTTAATTTAAACACGATTTCATGAAGATTGGAAAGTTAAATGAAAGTATAATGATGAGAAAAGTTTCAAATACGTGTAACGCAATTTGTTAATATTTCATTGAGGTAAAAAAGCGTATTCGCTATAAAGGTAATAAATAGGCAATCTTAATTCAAAAAATTTTCCAAAAAAGTATTATTCCGATATATTTTTTATCTTCTAAAACGATTCTTAACTCTACATTACTACTTACTTAGCTCTTTCAAGAAACATACAAGAGTTCGGTAGAAATGAATACATTTTTATAAAACAAATGACAATTAAAGGCTATTACTTATCAGGTATCTGATAAAAAGTTACGCATTTTATGAACAAAATATAAACCAATGGCGTGTCAGTGTAATTGAGTCGAAATCGCTGTATCCAGAAAAGTGTTTGTTTGATTTTAATGTTTTTAATCCGACTCAATCAATTGAAAGCTTATAAAATTCACTTTATGCTGGTCCCAGAGTGAGTCTTATAAATGCGGTACGATCATGAAGCTCCTCTATATTTTGTTTAACTGATTGGATAGGTAGAAATTGGGATGCATTCACTCTATTCTCTAAAAACGACGTTATGTTATAAAATAATAATGAAAGAGGTTGTAAAAAAAAAAAAAAAAAACGTTAATGGACTACAGAAAAAGATATATCAAATTACATTTTACTGCCACAAAACGAAATAAAACTGCCAATGTTAGACTATGGATCTACTGCAACACTGAAACCATTAAAAATTACTGACTGTTGGGCATAAAATACTTGTGTGCAATAGGCGCCAACGAATTTCAATATTGTTATTATTATAGATACACATAAGTCTTTAACAAATGTTATTACAACTTACTAATTTAATTCATAAGACGATACCCTTTTTTTTTTTTTTTTTACTATTTAGGAGGCTGTACACGTGCATTCAATTTGTCCTGAAAATTTCATAGTTATCAGACACTGTTTAACTGAGAATTTGAAACAAAAAAATCCCAATACTAGTTTTTCATTTAAAAACATACGGGAATTTATTTTAATTTAATGACTTTGGTCTTCAATTAATATGTATATTATGATCACATTATATAAATAACACTCTGCATTCGTCAATTTATGAAAATCCAAATGGAATTAAAACAAAAACCTTCTTTATTGCGAAGAAAAAACATTTGGTATACAAAAACAAAAGAGGAAAAATTCACAGTTTTTAAAAAATATCACAATACAATCTAAGCAAAAATGTATAGGCTTAGGCGGTATATTTATTTAAAGAAACATTTTAAAAATATTGTAATATTTTCATACATAAGACAACTTAAACGACGAAACCAACCGTTTCCTTATCATAATTTTAATAGTATATAGTTATAATCATAATAATTATGCTACTTATGTACCAAATAAAAAAAACTTAAATTCCTATGAAAATAAAATTAAGTAAATTACCGATAAATTTATATGTTAATATGTGTGTATATATAGTTTAAATATAATGACAGTTTAAACGTATATTTTAAATCGGACTATAAGTACTTCATACGGCACAATTATTTACATCAACAAAAATTGTCTAAAAATTAAGTAGCATTTTCAAACATTAATCAATTAAAACGATGTACGTATATAATCATATATACGAGTATTAGTCGAATTCGGATAGTAGGTCGCTCCCGCGTGTTATATTTACACAACAACACATATACACACAAATTATAATCTTGAAATATGGTACAAAAAATAATATCGATCAACTATGGACGACGGCGTTCACCCTCTCCCTTCCACCAAAACAAACAAAAAAAAAAAAAAAAATTTAAAAAAAAATACTAACTGGAAAATGATAATCAATGAAATAATTTTTTTTTTTTTTTTTTAATTTAAACTGTATGGGCGGCGGCCATCATTATCACCACGACCTCCAATTGCAGTAACGCTGTCGATTCTTCGGCACGACGCGTCAACGGCGGTGGTGATGTGATATCCTCGGTAAAGTTATGATACGTAATTAGTCGCGGATCGAGGTCGTAGTGGTGGTCGGACGAAATTAAGTTGGCAGTGTGGCGTCTCCGTTGTTGGCTATTTTCCCGCTCCCATTGTCGAGACCTTCTTTTTTTTTATCTTTTCCCTCGGTTTTGAATCGATCCTCCAAGAATCCCGGCTCCTAGAAGAGACACGCCAATTAATTACCTATACATTACCGCGTCATCGATCGAGTCATTATTATCGTTATATTTACACATCGCAGTAACAAATAGTGCAGCAATAACAATAAATGATATGCTGGTGCTGACGAAGAAAAAAAAAAAAAGAAGGAGAATGATTAATGTAATGATAATTATTCGTGTGTATATTAAATAATTGTAAAAAGCCGAAAATTAATTATATACTATCGTATAAATAAAATAATGCTGAAAATAAATAAATAAACATTGAGTGTATTGAAACGAAACCATACATGCCAAATATCACAATGTTAAAACTATATTATTTTAGAAGTTAATAACACACACCATATTAGTCGATTTGATGCCCATGCTATCGAAGGATGTGGGCAGATCCTTAAACACAAAATACAATATTTCAAATGAACAATACACTAGTGAAATTAATAACATTTGAAGACTGTAGGTATTTATACCTCTTGTATAAATAACTGTACTAATATCCAATTATTACTGAGTATCCTAAGAAATTTAGAACAAAATGAAAGGATACCACCGGTGAAGGGACGAATTCGAATGTATAACATTTATAATACTAGACACTTGTATATAGTACCTATATATTTTATAAGATCGCATCAATGATGAACAGTACCTTGTAAGCAATGATTCCAATTTCATACAATTTCTACATTGTCATACAGTGCCGACTTATTTTTCCCCCATGAACCATACTTAAAATGTTGACATCAAATAACCCAACATATCTTTTATTATGTAAAATACATTTTTAAATTCAATGTGTAGTTATTTATAACTTGAGTATAGTCAATAATTTTTAACCGTGGGCATTATTAATAATTCTAAAGTAAAATACAAAACATTGGTTTAATAATAATAATTCTTATTAATTATAATTATAAATTTTAAATGGCATTACATTTTAATAGCTTATTTATAAACCACGTGATTAAAATATTCTTCAAGACGTCACTATACATCGATATACGCTTTAATTTAGCGAAAAATTTGATGAATTATTTTTATTTTTTTTTTGCGTGTATAAACTAGAAAATAGTTCAGTTAGTTCAAGGTGAAGGCACTATGTGTATCAAAAAACAAATGCTTTACAACGTTCGCTACGAACAATGGATTAATATTTATAATAATTGTCGACGACCCATAAGCCGATTAAATGCGTCGTTATAACGAGTTAAAGGGCTTCTTAGTAATGCGCTATTATTTTTACATAAATCATTTACGTTTTTCGTTTTGATTTATGAATGATAATAAATAAAATCCATCATGCCCTTTTATTTGTGATTTGTGAATTAATTAATATATTTACTGTAATGCGATTTAATTCCAAAGTCTGTAATAGTGACAAAATATGTTAAAAAAATTATTTATACTTAGTAATAAACTTTTTATATAAAAAAAAAAATAAAATTATTTGAATCATTAATATAGAAAAAAAAAATCATATTTTCCCAATCTATTGCATTAAGTATTTGTAAAATCCTTAATTACCTTTCTAACATTTACATACCATTTAGTCACTTCCAGCAAAATATTTCTTAAATATTTTCATAGTAACATATCAAAAATTCTAATAATTAAATTTTTAATTTTTAATTAGAAGTTCAGGTTTTGTCATTTAATTTGAAAACTGCGATCATTTTACATTGTATTGATAAATTTATTTTATTTAATTTTATAAAAATTTCAGCCAAGTAATGAAGTCAATATAACCAAATTTTATCAGAAGTCTAAGTTGTAAACTAAATGTGTATTACTAAAACGTACAATTCATTACACAATTTAAGTTATCATACCAGTGTTTTTCTGCGACGAATAAGAATATAATATTATTTAAATTTAATTAATTCAAGTGTACCCACGAAACCATGGAGTTCTTAGACTTTTCTTTCGGGACCTTAGGGCTTCTGGGACACAGATTCAGAATTGCTGTTATAGGTATATTATATTAAAACTAAAAGTTCAAAAAATAAATGTTTTTCCATAAAACATGAATACCAAACACGATGAGTAAAAGTAGGAACTTAAACATCTTTTCGTACATTATATTTATTTTTATTTATTTTTTTTTATTTGCCTTTGTTCGCACATTACAGCAACACATTGTATTTAAAATCTGTTTTTACATTTGTATAATAAACAATAACTTATAAAAATTAGAATATGTTAACAAATAAGAAAAAACTACAACAAAATAGGTACACAGTGATGATTACACAAAAATATTTACGTCTTATTTTATATAGGATAAAAATGGAAAAATACAACTAAAAACTTTTTTTTTTTTTTTGAGGAGATAATTGTATAAACAAGATTTTAGTTTTGTATTAACAATTATAAATACTACAATTATTATTTAAATAAAATAGTTGAATAAGCAAGCATTATGAATACCATGGAAGATGTAATACCACCACCACAATTTAATTTCTAAAATAAACACCATACAGTGGAGAAAATGTAAAGAAACAACTTATTTGATATCCTCTAAAAAATAGAGATTTTTCATAAAGACAAAACATATAAACCATACAGTGCATAAAACAAAAATTAGATATCCAAAGTGTATCTTAACAAATAATTATATTATTCATAATTATAAAGCCAATAATACTGATGCATGGATTTAAGAAGAATCTGGATGCAGATTTACTATAGTAAATAATAATATGAATGAAATTTAGAATTAATGTTTATATTTACCCAAAAGATGTCATTAAACGTCATCCTTTTATGGCATTTTTGTTTTTAGTGAAAAAATAATTTATTATCTAATATTATTTAATAAATTAAAATATGTACAAATTAATGATTAATATTTAATAATACTTTTTAAAATAGCAAAATAAATTTTACCGATAATGACATAGCCATAATTTATTTTATCTATACTACAAAATATTATATTTTAAAGAGAATGTATTGTTAATAATATTACCGACACTGTTTTTCATATCAAGCAAAATGTGTAAAATAAAATATATGTAAAAACTTACTTTGGAATAAAATATTCTTTGTCATTGATTTTAAAGTAATTTCTAGAAAAAATTATTCAAACATATAAAAACACTTTATAGAACTATTAGAAATGAAAATTATATTTGTTGAACATGCATTAAAAAATTTTTTTTAATACTATTGAATGCCTGATTTGTTATGATTCGATTAATCTTACCAATAAATATATATAAATAGGAAGGACAATACTAATCTCTCGTTAAATATAATTACTAAAAGTGCTAACAACAAAAATTAAATTTTAGTTCTCATTAACGTAGTGCATCAACAATAATGTTTCTAAATTTAATGTCCACATTTTATAATAAACGGTGCATGTATGTAAGTTTGTACGTATAATAATAAGTATATTAATATAAATATAAGGAAAATAAATAAAATCAACGAGGGTTAACATTTTGCTTCACGGTGAGATATAATTTTTGGTAGCTATGATTTTATTGATTATCAAAATTTTAAAATATGTTAATTTTGAGATACCTTATTTGATAAAGTCCATCTGTCGGTAATGTGAAACATCAATCTAATGACTAATTTTCAATATTGGATGGATGACTAGGTAAAATATAAAAAGTAAAAAACATAAAACAAACATGGTTTTGAAAAATTATATCACAATTTCTCTAGAAGAATAAACTGTATTCAATAGGGTTTCAAATAACAAGAAATACATAATTATTAGGAATTATTTCCGGAATAAATGTTGTAAGTAAGCTTTTGTACCAAAAGTGCAAAATACTTCAACATATTAAAGTTTTATATGTAGGTCTTAGACTTCTATGGAATAGCTTATTATTGTACAATGTTTGTATGTAAATATTATGATATCATTAAATTACTATAAAATACAAATATACTTTTACTCTCCTTAATATGTTGAGTTTAGTAATACTTAAAAATATACCATAAAATATCTGATTTTGAATCAATTGTACAATGAGATGAATCGATTAACTTTATAACATATTTAATAATATAATTTCCTATATAACTTCCTACTTTCACACAAGTCTAATTGAGTTTATTAATTTATGAATTTTAAGGTAATATAAGAAGAAACTATGCAGAAACCGCATTACATGTGTGGAACAATGGCGCTGAACAAAAATTTTGAATGGTCTGGTCAATATCCACCCAATTTACAACTTACAACCCACCCCACCCCACCCAATAACATACTTTAAAGAAATGAAAATTTAACCCCTTCCAAAAATGTTTAACCTACTTTAGTATTTATGATAGCATTTATGAACTTAAATGTTTTAAATAGTAATTACTAAATGGGAAGTATTATAATTTATAGTTAGTTGAATTAATTCACTTATTATTTGTTTACTAATCCAACACGGCACCACTCATCACTCTAAAAATATAGTCTGGTCATGACCAAACTTGAACCCTGAGTTCGGCGCCACTGGTTTAGAACATAGGTTAATTAAAATACGACGTACGCTGTATATTATGTCAAATTGTTTTTATTAATTATATCCTAGGATGGAATTAATAACTTTCAAAATTATGAATTAAATATTAAAAAAATTATTAAAACACAAAAACTATAAATTATGTAAAAAAGAAACATTACCTTACTGTGATGCTCAGATAAGTTATTATTTGTTTTAAAAACACACAAACCAAAAACTCAAATTAAAACAATAAAAAATTGAGGACCATAAATGTTATAAAGTTTTTTCCTTTATACCAACTCATCTTTGTTGTAAGTACATTGATCTTGTGACTATTTACATGTAGGCATGTAAATATATATAAAAAATATAAAATATTAATGTGTTCGGTTTAAAAATACTTTCTTATCTTCGTGACATGCTATAAATCCTAAGTGTATACATTTTTTTTGTTTTACTCAACTTACCTTAGGCTTAGGACGATGTGTATTGACAGCTTCAATGGGAAAATTGATTTGTTCCATTTTACATCCGTAAGCTACAGGAGTTAATTTGATTAATGTATGCAATGGTACTTCTAAATACGGTAGCTCTTCTGCAAATAGAAATCGTAATTATTAACTTCAAAATGCATCCTGGCTTACAAATATAATTTTAATTTGTGATAAAATTAACACCTGAGTTTTTATCTAAGAAATAGGCTAATAAACACCGGTGAACAGCTTGATGACTGACAACCAAAACATTTCCCTGTCTTTCTAATTCCATGATGACCGGTTCCAGTCGTGCTACTAGGTCTTCATACGACTCGCCTCTTGGGTAACGATATGCAAACTTGTCTCTATCCCGGGATTCAAATTGTTCTGGGAATTCACGTTTGATTACTTCATATGTTTTACCATCGCACACGCCCTAAAAAGCAATCATATCCTTCAATACAATATTATTGGTCAACAACCTTTAGAACAAAAAAGAACACCATATTAAAAGTGACTGAGCCACGAAAGACTGAAACTCTGGGGTTTCAATTTTAGATCTTACAGCGTCGATTTCGTTCAATGACTTCCATCGTTCCTGAGGGGCACGAACTCCACTTGCACTCTGAATGGTCCGATGATGCCACGAAGTCCACACCCGAAGGTTTTTTATGTTTTGACCGTTTATGTAATTGGCCAAAGCGATGGCATATTTGACACCATTGGGCGATAGTTGCGAGTCCCCACCAATTTTTCCTTCTCTGTTCCATTCACTCTCACCATGCTACAGAAAAATAAGACATGAAAAAAAAAATGTCAAATTGTTTTATAATGTACACTTTTTAAATTGATTTGCTATTTGGTAACTTTTATTGCACTCACTCTCGTAAGATAAATCGTTCTCGGAATGATATGAATGTTCATCAGATAATAAACGATGCGCGCCTGTATGTGACCTTCGTGCTTGTGAACTAGAACCTTCTCGCCAGTGTTGAATATTTTCATATAGCTCAATTCGGACTCGGTGTTTTCATCCAGCGGTTCGTATTGTTCCTGATAGTGCTCTATTCGCTGTAAAAAGTCCCGAAGAGCAACGTCCGCACCCATGCTTTGATAGTCCGGACTGTTGATCTTTACTTCCTGCATAACAATATCGTTAAAATTAACGTACACAAACGTGTCAAAAGCAAAAATTAATTTCACACAATTTTATTTTTTTAATTATCGCGACAACGCAGCAATAATTGGATAAATATGTACGATTATTTATATTAACCATTATGTTTTGTTCGACAATTTTAGGATCATCACACACTGATTCTACAAAGAACAACTTGAAACCTCGTTTTTTCACAACAATATCTAAAATTAGTTGCCGACGTTCGATGGTAGAGTTAGTGGCATCAAAAACCTGAAATCAACGATAGGTTATTATTAAAATGAATTCGTAAAAATATATTTAACATGTAATAAAAGCATATTTTTATATACTTAATACTTACGGCAACTTCTCCGCCGTTGTCCAGCCACGTACAAACGTCATCAAGTGCGTCCTTAGCGCATTGCGTTCGAATGGCCATTGCTTCTTTATTTTCAGGACGGAAAAATTCGTGGCACTTGTATGCCGTTGTAGCATGACGTCGGTATTCTCCGAGATTGAAAACTGTAACATTTTACAATTATTAATATAACCGTTAATGGCAATTATAAATTTTAAGTATTATCATGGTATTACAATGTAATTTTTTATATTTACCTTTGGTATTAATACCGATCCAGTTTAGATATCGGGAAAGTTTTTTTGAAATATAAGTTTTCCCTCGTGCCGGTAATCCGACCATAGCAATGACGTGAGGTGTGTTAACATAGTTGAGACGTTCGCCTAGAAAATTAAATTAAAATGAGTATCACGTGTATAAAATGCTGCAAATGAAAAATGGGGTCACAAATTCCATTGGTGTAATGTAAAGAGAAATCATTATTCTTTATACAGATGTACAAGAAGCTTTAATATATATATATATATATATATATATATATATATATATAGACCATGTCTTACCAACCCATATCGATAATGATAATTTAGACAGAACCATTTATAAATAATATCTTAGCAAGTACAATAATTTTTAATATATGGAGAAGCCATCAAATAAAATACATATCATTCTTATTAAATTTTATTGTTCTATAGGTATATCCATATTTTGATATTTAATGATAATACTTATTTGAACATGCAGTATTTAGTGGAAGTATTTATAATAAATAAATATATTATTCAAATAATTTATCAAAAAAACATTTAAAAATAAGAAGACATGAATAATTTATAATTAAGTATTATTTTAAAAACTGCGCGATAAGTAACTTGCATCATTAATGTTGTAAATTAAAATAAATATAGTTATATAACACAACACAATTTAAAATTCGATATTGGAATTATATATCAATCACTGAATTTATTCATGTTCGATAATATTGTAGATGAATAAATTTATTCAAATTCGTGTTGTTATAAATAAGAATTCCGTTTATTATTTATTTATGTATATATAAATGTGATGTCATTTATTAATACGCTATTAAAAAAATATTCATAACTCATACTATTGACGAATATATATTGATATACATCAGTTTTCACATTTTCCATTCAATTAATTATATTATCATGAAAATATTCACAATACAAATACTATTAATTAATATTAAATTATATAAATTATTTAAAAAACAATTAAGTTTGTACATTAATTGCAAGAAGTATAAATATATAAGTTGTATTCATAAATACTTTTTATAACTTTAATAGTAACTATAAATAAAAAATGTAATTTTAGCTTAAAATCAAGCTGATTATTTAAATTTAAAATACTTATAGATGCTAATACAAATTCTAGAGTCTAATTTTAATTTTTGATCCGTGCAAATAATTTATAAAGCTTACAAATATATATATTTGCTATTTAATATTTTTTTGCCTATTAATAATCACATTTAATTGCACATAGTAAGTAAAAGGTGTCCCAGCAAAAATGCACATTTTAAAAACGCCGTAATTTTTTTGTTTTTTGGTTAAAAGCACTGTTCCAATGTTTTTCTAGTCTTATAACATCCCTCATTTTCTATTGCAAAGCATTTGCATTTTTATCATTCGTCATCATGGAGAGATTCACTATTGAACAACGCGTAAACACAATGAAAATGCCTACAAGTGCGGATAGTGTCGCGGAAACGTTACATAAGCTTCGGACGATCTTCGGACGAAACAATGCGCCTTTGCGATCGACTGTAACTCGTTCAATAGATAAATTCGAGAAAACTGGCTCAGTTGTGGACAACAAAGCCACCCTTTAGAGGAATATTCGATCGCCAGCAAACGTTGCCATAGCGCAAGACAGTGCTCTAGTGAGCCCGCATAAGTCTGTTCACCGTCGTCTACAGCAACTGGGTATCTCACAAAGTTCTGTTCATCGGATTTCAAAAAATGAGCTCCATCTGCATCCATATAAGATCCAGTTGACACAAGAATTGAAACCAACAGATTACGGCAAGAGAAGATTATTTGCAAAATGGATTTTGAGCCAACCCGACGCGAACTACGCCAACAGGATCTTCGGTGACGAGGCTCACTTCCACCTCTCTGGGTATGTTAATAAGCAAAATCATCGAATTTGTTTATGTAAATAACCCGCAAGTTATCCAACAATTGATGGAAGGAATCAGGTAGGTAATTGGCAGAATCGGTAGAGAGATGTGTGCGAAAGTGATCACCAATTTCAACGATCGCCCTATTGCTTGTAGGGATTGCGGAGGTAGACATTTGCTCAACATAATATATTATCATTAAATGGGAGTTGTTTATGGTTGCAATAATTCTTTTTTTTTTTTTAAATGTCAATAGTTTTTTGCTGAGCTATTGCGTTTTTAAAATATGCGCTTCTGCTGGACACCCTATATTTAATATTTATAATTTTGTATTTTAGGAATAAACTTCCCAAATTGTCACTAGTTTTCATGTTTATTCAAATATATATTTACAAGTTGTAAGTAAGTTGTAAGTTATAACTGACATTTACTAGTTTTCGAATTCAATAATAATAATTATTATTATTGAATTCGAAAACTAGTAAATTAAATAACATTTAATAATTTTAAATAATCATAAGAACATCACTATAAAGTTTTAAAGGAAGTAAAGCTTATGCCCAAATTAGAAATATCATTGTTCTAAATGCTTTTTAAAATTTTTTACTTAATACTAATCAAAAACCTTATACATTTATACTTATAACAGCTGTTGAATAATGACATTTTATTAATTACACATCACTATTTATTAGTTAAAACTCAAATAATAAAGATGTTAAAAATTAATAAAAATTAAAGTTTTTAAATCTAACAATCAAATAAATATTCACTCAAGAACCATCAATGGATTAATTCTTTGATATATTTCATTCATACATATATCAAATAAAATCAATTTAATTTCAACTTTGAAAACTACCTATTATTAGTAAATGACATGAAAATACAAGGTATAGAGATGGACCTGAATGTAAGAACTGATGTATAATTATAAATAAAAGCAATAATAATAACTTAGAACATTACAAAACAATAAGTTCACTAGTGTTTTTAGTTTTTTTAATTTTCAATTATCATAATAAAATGTATTCCAAATGTATTAAGTACACTATTGAAATTGAGAATAATTTAATAATCTTACATTCAATTTTCAAAATAAATGGGTATATAATATAATACCCTTATATAATATATAATTTAATATGATTAAATAAGTAGATAAAATAATAATATCAAAGACAATAAAGTAAACAGAATTTCACCATAAAATAAATAAATGTTATTTTTAACTAACTCTACTAATATTAATAAAATAACAACTTTCATTATTTTTTTTTAACTTGAAATACATAATAACAATGTCAATATTCAATCCAATTACAATTTTTTTCATGTGACTAAATATTTTTGGAAATTCAAAAAATAAAGGTACGTCTACATTACGTCAATCGATTTGATTTGAAGTGCAGACGTATCGATTATATATATCAGCGGTTCCCAAACTGTACACCGCGATACTCTAGGGGCACCACGATTACTTTCTAAGGGCACCGCGGTCTATGATTCATAATAAATAGTTTAAAATACATAAAATTGTTTTTCCTTATTATTTTCAAAAAAACTTTATAGCAAATAATGTAATACTTTCTATTGTATATTTGGATATTCTCATTTTAACCTTATAATATTTTTATATAATAATTATAATCATAATAAAAATTTTTATTTATTTTTTAAGTTTAAAAATGCATTAATTTATAATTGAGTAAAATTTTAATAAAATTAATAAAATTGGTTATCAATAAGTATTTTTTTTTGTTCTGTCTTAAATATTATTCACACCAAGGCACCGTGGCTAAATTGGGTCTAAAAATAAGCACTGCGGAAAAAAAAGTTTGGGAACCGCTGATATACATCATTATGTTGCTAGAGTGGATTGACAAAGAATAACTCCGTCCATACTAATAAGACAGTGTTTGTCATTCGACATAAATCAATGTCGTCTGACTATATGTAAACGTACCTACTTTAATAAACACAAAATTGTAAAATTAATAGTTTCATTTATTTAAATCTAGAAATGTTAGATTTAAATAAATGAAACTAAAATAGACATCTAGAAACGTTAGGTGTTTATTTTAGATTCAAAAGTAAATACTATTTGAATACACGAAGGTGAGCAGGTAAAACATTTTAAATTATACACTAAAATAATTTAGAAACCTTGTTAGTATTGATATTAATAAAAAACATACAAATATAATGCTCAATATTTTCATTAATAACTACTAGACATTTTAATATTAAAGCAATACTACAAAATAAACATTACTCATTTGTTAAAAAATAGTTATCAATTGAGTAGCAAAAATAGTAAAGTTAATCATTGAAAAATGCTTTAGAAAGGAAACAATTAATAGCAAAGAATTTAGTAAACAAATAAATTAATGATAATCATATTTATATTTATATTTCTCTAAATACTGATGGTTATCATTCAGATTAACAATAGTTAATGAACCATCATTATTTTCTACTAGACTAAAAATTTAAAGAATTTATATATTTTAAAAAGTGAAATTTAAGTTATAGATATGGTTTTACTACTGCTTTTACAATTTTTGTAGAAAAGTATTTTTCTTGACATAAAATTCAATATTATAGGATTATTAAGTACCTGCTTATTGTAATATTTATGATCCAACAATCATCAATTTTTTTATACTTAATCATTTCAAGATAATATTTAATAATAAATTGTACAAATATTACTAAGGAAAATCACTAAAAACAGTTTCTAAGATTGTTCGTACCTAGTCAATTTATGTTATAAATAATGATTAATGAAATTGTTTTATATTCTAACTGTCTAATGAAATAATAAATTATGTATTCCTAGTCAACAATCGTTCTAAAAAGGAGGTAGGAATTTGAAAAATCATTTTAATTCAACTAAAAGTTTACCCGAGAACGACTATTTCAATTAATTTAATTCTTCAATTTTTTTAAAAACCGTAAAATCTAAGGTTTGTAAAACTTATGGCAAAAAAAAAAATGCAATAATAGCAATTAATTATGATAGAGATATGGTGATATGGTGAGTCGACCGATATATTGCGTGCACTATATTGTACTTTGATGCGATGAGCCCGAAAACTCCATTCAATGTCGACGTTGCCTGATGACGAAAAACGAGCGTCATAAAAATGTGACTCGTACATTTTATCTAATCGATTAAACGCGACAGACACATATCAATTTACAAAGGTTATTTTATTTCTA